GAATATTAATTAACACTTCAATTAATCGTCACGTCATATAATTATAATCTAATCGTCAAAAGTATTATTTGAATCATCATTTTAATTGCAATTAAAATAATAGATTCAATTTATTTTGTCTATTATTTATTAATCATTTTAAATTATTAAAGTTTTATTAAATAAATATTCATAAATATGAAGTATTTGCTAATTTACATATGTATTATTTAATTTTATAATTTTAAAAAACATAATAATTATTTTTAATATATCCCGATTTTCTATATTATATTTATTGATTTAATACAATGTATTATATAAATTATATAATATTATATACAGTATATACAGTATATACAGTATATTGTATTAAATACAGCATTTTGTATAGTAAAGACTATACTATGTATACATAAATATCAAAAATGTTTGATTGCAATACATTACTTGCATTTATAATGTTTGTATTCAACCGTTTGTTTCTATCGAATATACAGTTGTATATATTTGTACTAAAATATATAAATTATATTTTCATAAAAGTTTACATTTTTGCAAATTATTTCACAGACAAATTGCTCTCAATTTATCATATGATATATGATATATAATTTATACTTACTATTCATTTTATGATATTAACAATATCTTATATTTATTTTTATTTTTCAAGAAAAACAAACTCATATACTATAATATTGTTTAATAGTAAAATTAACAATTTATTATATACTTTAATAACTTTTAATTTGTATGATAATTGAGGTTAGAATAAAATTTAACTTTTATAAGTTTAGTCATATTTTTAATTTTTTATTGAAATGAATTAATGTATTAGATTTTCGTTATATTATTGCATATACAGTATATATCAGAGTTAAGCAAGTTTTTGAATCTTAAGGGAGGTATAGGGAGGGGTAAAATGGCTATACTCCACCATACCCCCTTGCTTAATCCTGATATATAATTAATTTTATAATTATTGATATTAACATTTAATAATAATAAAGCAGTTATTAATATCAATAATATTGAAAAGCCAACTTTACTTAAATACATTTGAATCTTTACTTATTTTCTTTGTTTTTAACTAAAATTAACATAATAAAAGTTTGCATTATCGCTTTAATCGTTTTTTATTTTTATTATACCAATATTTTTAAACATAGTTACACAATAAAATTTATAAAAAACAATTCACTAAATAAGCTATTTTTATATTAAATTGAAAAAACATATTTAATTAATTAAACCAATTCATATGTGTACTATAATATACATTACCATATAATATACAAAATAGAAATATAACATTAGATTTGTAATTACAATAAGGTTAATGGATGTATTTATATAGATGAAATTGTATACATATTGCTATATTTGTTAAGTAATCTTTAAATGGTTGTTTTATTGTAATTAAATTAATAAAGCAAAAGCTAAACTTACAAAAATAGTAAAAAATATTGTTAGACCAAAAAATAAATATATTATATAAGATGTAACTTTTACTACTTATATAAATTAATTTAAATTGATTATGTAATGAAAACGCAATATATAATGAAATACAATAGTTTTTAGTAATAAAAAACTATTAAGTTATGCAAATAGTAATAACTACAGTATAACGTTATTAAAAAGTGTGTTGTGTTTTGTTACACATTTGTTTGACTCAATTATACATATGTTGTCAATATTTTGACTTATTTTAAAGATGTTGTTTTTTATTTAATATATGCATAATTTTGTATGAGTTATAGTATTTTGTAGTTTTTATTTTTAGTATATAATAACACATTATTTAATATACTTTTCTTTGACTGCTGTTTCATAATACTATATTATTTAATTGTGGTTTTTTTAATAAAAAATATGATCCATTATTTTTATATATTTAATGGACTCATTAGTTTCCATTTCTGTTCTTTCTTTTTATGAAAAATTATAATATTTTGATATTTCACGACACGTTTTCCACTTTTCTCTGACATTACTTTTTTTTAAAAATAATACTAAAAACTTATAGTACAATATATCTTGTACTCTATGTGCACAATACTCACAATACTTCACTTTAGTTTTAATATATTAATATTATCAATATATTCTCTCTAATAGAAGAGTAAAAAATGAAAAATTAGTTCAAATATATCTTTTATTTTGTATGTTTTGTACAAAATATAATATTGTTTAGTAGATTGTATTTAGAGAAGACTGAAAATATATATTAAAATTCATAAAAAGTTCGTTGTTTTCATTTATTGAGTTATTATATTACTAAATATTGTAGAATACAAATACACTAATGTACTGTAAATTATAAATTACAAATAAATTTTATAATTAATATTTAGTGAAATTTTATAATAATCAATTAAATTCTAAATATTCATAAATTAAATTATTATTATATAAGAAAACTTAGCTGATAAAAAAGTGTATTGCAAAATTTACAAAATCTATAACTACTGGATTTTTATAAAGACAATATATTAATATATAAAGTAAATTACATTGAAATAAATTACAATTTTAACTAAGTCTATAAATTTTTTATTGAAATCAATATATCATGTTAAAGTATTCAACTTATGCTTTTAAATTTTCCATTTTAAAAATAATAGTCTAAACAATAAAGTTTTTATTTTATATTTTCTACTAGTATTATAACTTTAGAAACATTTATTTATTTTATAATCATTATGACTTATACTTAACAGATAAATTTATTGAGTTATAAATTATAAATAAAATTTATATCTTAAATAAAATTATTATTTATGTAAAGAATTTTATTTAATATCTAATTATTTATATGATATAATTGAAATGACTATTATCTTTGTATATATAATAAAATGTTCGGTTAAATAGAAAAATAGATTTAAAGATTAGACAAACATTTTATCGATGCATACATAGTATGTATATTAAGTAATGCAACAATTTATGTGATGTGTGTCCTGATGTACACTTGAGTACAATTTAAGGCTAATTTAGACGCAAACTACTGTATATACGACCGACAAGTGCTTCAATAGAGCCATAAGAATAACTTATAGTACCTATAATTCTGGTGAAACACTGCAACAAATGGTAAACTTTTTTTGGTACAAACTTTTTGTACATTTACTATGAAATTATGCTAAAAGATAGTTTGCAATATCAATATAATATGGACTAATGGTTTACAAATATCAACAAATTGATTGTTATTAAGTTTTTACAAACAAAATATGATAACATTACAAATGGTATGTCTCTGTTGTTACTGTTTGAGTGAGTAGTGAATGCATTATTTAAAATACACTTAGTTTGCACTCGTATTTACAGTGCACTCTTCATACCGGTATAACCTACATGTAATAAACGCTGAGTTTGACTCTAAATTATGTAATAGTCATACACATACACATACACATACACATACACATACACATACACATACACATACACATACACATACACATACACATACACATACACATACACATACACATACACATACACATACACATACACATACACATACACATACACATACACATACACATACACATACACATACACATACACATACACATACACATACACATACACATACACATACACATACACATACACATACACATACACATACACATACACATACACATACACATACACATACACATACACATACACATACACATACACATACACATACACATACACATACACATACACATACACATACACATACACATACACATACACATACACATACACATACACATACACATACACATACACATACACATACACATACACATACACATACACATACACATACACATACACATACACATACACATACACATACACATACACATACACATACACATACACATACACATACACATACACATACACATACACATACACATACACTCAATAAATGTTTGACTAAAATGTTTTATTAAGGAATTGAAGCAAACCATCGAAATCCTTAAATAAGATATCAAAATATTGTATATATTGTATATACTGTCTATAATCAAAATATAAATATAAAATACTATACTTATATTTATATCTAAAGTGCAAATGTTATATATATAATATATATATATATATATATATTTCTATTTACTTTTATTTTCTTCACTAATATTATAAAAACATATTCACATAAATTATTTACTGTTTTCTGAGTTTTATTTGCAAATTAATTATAATACATAAATTATATAATAAATAAGTTTATAATTAAATAAAACCTTTAAATAAAATATATATTTAAAAATTATTTTATTATTATTGATTTTAATTAATTAAAAATTTATTTAATGATTACGTAAAGTTATTTTGACTAACAATTTTTAAATGAAAACTGAATAAATAAAAAACATATAAAAGTTAAATAAAAATAATACTAATAATCAAAGGAAAAAATGAATAAATTTTTGATGCAATTCTCAATTCTATTTGAATTTTAATGTAAGCAAAACATAAAATAAATAAAAATAGTTTTTTGTTGGTTTACTTTCAAGTGTGTGCTTCTATATCGACAAAAATAACATTTATTGAGTATCCAAGTTATGAATTCATTTATCAGTTTATACTATGTCTTTGCACGAATGCCATCACTATATTTCTCTCTCTCTCTCTCTCTCTCTCTCTCTCTCTCTCTCTCTCTCTCTCTCTCTCTCTTTCTATCACTCTATTTATCTATCTGTATAACTGATGAATTGTAGTGATGACGGGATGTAAAGTTTAGGTTTGGTGTTGTACTGTATTATCAGTATTAAAGTCAATGGCAGAGCATATATATAGTGTATATTTATATTTATAATATACGGTATAATACTCTTAGAATTCAATTAGTGATGAGGAATGTAATGCATGTACTCTAACAACAAATAATTCAAATAATTCTTTAGCCAAAAGTATATCTCCTTTTCATTCATTTGCTACACTAAAACCTAATTTTATTTGCAGGTATTCTTTTAACATCTTTATACCAGTCCTTACTGATGCTACCAGTGCTACCTTTATTGTTAGCTCAACCAATATCTGACACAAATGATGAAAAATTGCCTGAATTTGACGGACAAATAGTATGTTTATTAGATGATATATAGTATATTAATATTACAACAATTGTTGCTTTTTTGTGTAGTTGTATTAAAAATGAATAAAATGAAAAAAAAAATGAAATACAATTATTTACTATTTATAACAAACGTTATATTTTATAGTTAAGTGAACCGTTAAAGCCAGGAGTAGGCACTGATGTCACTTTGTATGCATTCAAATATAGTAATCTTCTGAACAAAAAAATCAAAAATTTTTTAATTTTATATCAAACTGTAGGTCGTGTCCAATCAAGAATTTAGGCAAATATAAAGTTGGTATTGATTTTGATGGCATGTGTTACACAAAAAAGCAAATAATTATAAATAAATAATATCTCAATAGATTAGTTGGAATTCTGTCGATAAGCAAACCTTATTAGTCGTACAAAACTATGTAATCTCTGATAATCCAAGAATAGGCTTCAAAAAAGTATCAAAAGGAGACATATCTTATTGGTTTGTCATAAATTCATACATTAATATTATATTTAAATTAATTTACATGTATTTATATTATACATACACGAATAGTATACCACATATAATAATAATTTTAACATTTTAGGTCATTAATTATTAGAAATGTAACTCTTAGTGATTCTGGTTATTATATTTGCCAAATCGATACAAATCCACCAATAAGATTGCTTAAATTTTTGAATATTTTTGGTAATAGTTGTTTAATTATTATAATTTAATTTTATATGACACATATTATTATTTCAAATATAATATGCAATATAATTTGTCAAATATATAATTGTCACCCCAAGTACCGGTACAATTTGATAACAAATTTTCAGTGGAAAGTGATTCAGTGATCAGAGTCAGGGAACTCCATAACGTGAGTCTAACCTGCAAAGCAACAGGAAATCCTAAGGTTTTGATATATTTATATATACAGTAGTATTACTAATTGAAAATTGATTTATTAAACATTAGTTATAATAAATTTGTTTAGCCGACAATCACTTGGCGCCGACAAGATGGACGGTTACTTCAATTGGGCAATGGATCAGTTACTGGTATTATTTTCAAATAATTAAAAGTTTATTTAATATTTATTCAATAAACTAGATTTAAGTGTTTCAATAATAAACATTTACTGTAAATAATATTAATAACTTTAATAACTATTTTTTATTATATAGAATCGGTTGAATCAGAAGTTCTTAATTTACAAGAAATAAATCGTTCAGTAATTGGTTACTATGTGTGCATCGCATCCAACCAATTGAGTCCATCTCTCAGACGAAAGACTTTTTTAGATATAGAGTGTATGACTTAATTATTTAACAATTAAAATATATTATTATTTTTGTTTAACTAATCCAATTTGAATCAACAGTTTCGCCAACAATTAGAGTCCCCAATAAAATTGTTTCATCGTTTGTTGGACATAATGTTACCATTGAGTGTATCACTGAATCTAATCCAAAAGCTGAACACTTTTGGATTGACGTTTCCGGCAATCAAATCACTCCAATGAAATCAAACAATTACATCATTACAATAATTAATTCAAATAAATTTAAGGTTCACTTCAAACTGACAATCATTAATGTAGATTATATTAATGCTGGAAGATATACATGTCTTTCAACTAATAGATTGGGATCTATAAAGAGCTCAATTGTTGTCGATGGTAATGTCAGTCTATTATAAATCACATCAATTTAAACAAATGTATTCATAAACTAAAATAATTTAAAGTCCAAACTAACTTTATGTAAATTTATTAAATTATACAATAATACATTTTTATGCGTTTTTAGTAAATATTTAAAGTAATTGAAAGAAATTTATTTAAATGAATATATTTTAAGATTTTAAAACTAAATCTATTTAGTAAATAATAATCAATAATTACTAGTTTATAATTTATATTAAATTATTTCAAAAATATTTATATTAAAAAATTTAATTATTTAATTATAAATATTTTATTTCTTATAGTTTATGAATATATCATCCAAACAACTACTCCTTACTATGAAATAAAGACAACTGAAGAAAATACTATTAATACAACTCATGTATTGTTTGCGCAAATATTTAAAGGGATTCATCCAATTAATCATAAAACACAATCAAATTATCATAAAAGACAAAAAAGTCGACCAAATGTTAGCTCTAATCAATGTTTTTATAAATTGAATAACTTTTTATTATTTATTCAATTTTGTTTATTATTAATACATTGTAAATATTTAACTTGTAAATACTGATAAATTATATTTATTAAAAATTATTTTATTGAAATCCATTACAAAAATTAATTAATAAAATCTTTTTAAATTATAGTATTAAATTATCGGTATATATATATATAATATACTGTAGAGTTATATCAAATTTGTTAACATTATTTTTTTATTAAACTATCAATACTTTGTTTAAAAGTTCATGCATTTTCATTTATTTATCTGATTAACATTTTAATATTAAATACTTTATAAATAATAATTTAAAAATCAGCTAACGCTTAATTAAATAAACTATACTAATTTTGTTAAAACTATTGCTTTATTGTGTAAATATTATAGTTTACTTTTAATTAAAAATATTTTTGAATTTTTATTTATTTGATAAAAAAACTACAATTATTTGTTATGGCAAATATTTGGAAAATTTTATAATTATGATTTGAGATTTGGATAGAGCATTATATAATATATGAAATAGAATTTTTTAAAAGTAATATCTATTTTTTAGTGACCATGGTTAAAATGACAGACAAATATTTTTTTAATAACTTAATTATATTAGTTTTGGCAAAAAAGAAAAATTTATAAAATAATAGAGAAACTTCTATCAATGGGATCCTCATATTATTTTTGCTAATTTTCTCGATATTTGTTATTTTGTATCAATACATTGTTTTTATAATTAATAATTAAATATTAGTATTAGTATTTTAGTTACTAATTAAAGTAAAAATTCATTTATTTAATTATCTTAAACTATGATATATAATATAATTAAATGTTACAAAACTGATTATTATTAAATAATTATAATTAATTTATATAGAAGTATCCAATTTTAGTGTAATATAATTTATATTTAATAGTATAATATTATATGTATAGTATTTTGTCTTATTAATATAGAATTACAATAGCTATAGATATGGGGATCCCATAGTATAACAATTATGTTAAATTTCTAAAGAAATTTATTCATGATAAATTTTCTAGAAACTTTCTATTTGCCTAATTATCTCTAATTATAATATACTGTGTAAGTGGTTGAATTAAACACATCAATTAGATACAAAATTAGCAAACAGTTTAATATATTTTTGAATACATTTTAATACAATTTTATGTTAACAATTAGTAATTAAAATTATAAAGTATTACTTAAATTTGGATAAATGTTATACAATTGGATTTTTTTATATATTTAAATTTTGATATATAATATATTGTTATAAAATAGTTATTAATTATTATAAAATATATTAATTGTTAATCCATCAAAACGAGCACCGGTCGATATAGCAAACATGAGAACAGCACTGGTAGTCATATTCACAATAAAAGCCACGAATACCACAGGAACGACCTATTTCTGGTGAATCGGGTGACAGTAATTCTGGAGAACACGAAACTGTTTTGCCATCGATGATCATAAAGACATACACCAAAAAAAGTACAAAATTTAATAACAATAAAATTTTGTTTTTAAACATTTTTTGTCTATAAAGTTTACTTATTATAAATAAATACACATATGGTTATTAAATTAATTAATTATTTATTTGCTAAAATAATTTTTAATATAAAATAAATTAACATTACTAATATCAATTTGATATACAATTTGTATATCAAATTAATAGTATTAAATAATAAAGTATTTAATTAATAATATTATATAATATGACTTTATATAATATAAACAAATGTTATTTCTTACATTTTTTATTTCTAGTTTCAAATTTTAATATAAGTTTTTAACATAATTAAGTAAATTGATTTTATTGTTTGTAACTTAGATTTAATTAAATTAATTTTGATTGTAAAGTTTATTATGTCTCTATTTAGATAATTTATAACTTATTGCCTATAACTTATTTAATTACACTAAAAGTAGTGTTGGCAAAAAAAGAGAAATTTACTAGAATTTTTTTCAGGCAAATTTATTAGAAATTTTTATTTGCCCATCTCTAACCAAAAGTTACCTAATAAAAATGTAAAATTATATATTTGATTTACATATAAAATAAACATATTAGTTAAAATAAAATTAATGATAAATTGTAATATTATATAAATAAAATTAGATTATTTAAACTTTTATTGCATTCATAGATTATATAAACATACGATTTAATAATAATTATAACAGTGTTTCACTATTTCAAAATAACAATAAAAAGTTTTACAAAATTATTATTTGAATAAAGAAAAATTGAAAAATTGATCAAGTTAGTTTCAATTAAATTATTTATAATAATTATTTATTTATTTATTTACAAAGGCCCTGTAATTTTTAATTTAGTTTTTAATACGTTTGGCACCAATTTTGACACGTATTAAGACAATTTAGTAGTAGATAATTAATATTAAATGTTTATAAAAAGCACACCCTGGTAATATTAATTCTTTAAATTGTTTAATTTGTTGCAATTAACATAAGTTTATATATTAAAAAAAATTATTTCATATATATTTTGTGATATATTTGCAGTTTTTTATATACAATAATATATAAATTATATATATATATAATGATAATAAACAAAAACAATCGTAACAAATATATTATATAATAATTAAAGTTATAAAGATTGTAAATAAATCAATAACTAATATATATATATATATTAACTAAATTCTGTTAATAAATATATGACATATTGAATAAAAAACGACAAAAACAAGAGTCGGTATGATTTGAATAGTGAATGCCTTTGAAGTATCGGTGCTTTCGCTGTCTGTCTTAAGAGTGACTCTTTCTTCATTTTCAAGTGTTATTTGCTCTGAAGTCATCTCATTGTTTAATAACTCAGTCAAAGCTATGACTCTATTGTTGGCGTTTGTGTCTAAATATGGATAAACAATAATATAAGTGGTTTTAATATGGATTGATATCAATATATAATTTTCTATTAATACCAAAATCTCTTTTATTATCTTCTAAACCATTAGAGTTCTTGCCTTTCAAATGAATCTTCTTTTTAGTTTTCGATTCTTTGACAGCAATTGCTTGTAATTCGGTGTTTGTCTCAGACATTGGGATTTCAAACAACTTAATACTGGCCTCCACTTCGCCCAATATATTCTTAGCCATACAACTGTATCAATAATAAACAAATCAAAAATATTATCAATTAATTTTTGTATTATTAATTTTTAAAAAATATTGTATTTACATGAAAGTACCAAAGTCTGTGGGGTTTATATCATTGATTTTTAATCTATTATTAAAATAGAAATCTAATTATAATTAAGAATAATAACAAATATTAAATACATTAGTTATTTTGAAAATTAGTTATGTATATTGAAAATTAATGTTTCACAAATAATTTGTTAAAAATATATATATTTTTCATTATTTTATAAATATGTGTACAATTAATAGAATGTCTGTTATTACATATTAACAAAATTATTAAAATAATTTGTGTAAATAAAATAAAATAATATTAGTGTTACAACCAAATTACAAATTAAGATTTTTATGTACATTAAGTTATTTTTTAAAAAATAACAAATATTGTCAAAAAATAACAAAAAAAATTATTCTAATTTACTGTTAATTAAATTTAAAAAAAAACTATTTTATTCAATATTATTAAATATGTATATTTAGTTTTCAGCAGAAATTTAATTAAATTATATCATACAAAATAGTTGTTTATTTTTACATTTCTATATATTTATAGTTTTTTATATAATTAAATAAATTTCAACACTTCACTTAAGTATTTTCAAATTGTTTTTAGATTTTAACCTAAAGACTATTGAGTAAAAGCAAGTGTAAAGTATAATACGGTATTAGTTTTAAGTAAGGGGATAGGGGGTAAGGCCAAAATACCCCCCTAAGATCGAGATATTGGGATTTTACCCTTAGACTTTTTGACCAAATTGGAAAAATTGTCGCTTAAAAACGACGAGAAATGACCCTCCCTAAATTTTCCCCGCCGAAATTTTTTTTTGAAATTTATAGAAATTTTAATTTTAGTTGATACTATTTTAGTAAGTGTTTTTATGTTTTTAATATTTATAAAAATCTAATTATTGATTAAAAATATTTAAAATAACGTTAAAACTCATCAAAAAATAACATTATTTTAATTAAAATAAACTAAAAAATTAAAAATTACCTATTTGTTGAAAAGATTAATCATATTACAATTTAAATATAAGTTTAAGATAGTTTAAGAGTTAATAAAACAATAAATACTTATATTATAAGTTTTTTATTAATAATTTTTAAATTTTAAATAAAAAATTTAAAAATATTTTTAATTTTGTACTTAATATAATTAAACTTTAACGAAATTTGAGTTAAATAAGTAGTATTCAGTCAGTATTTGTATAAAAATAACATTTAAAAAATAAAAATATATAACAAATTATAAACTAAGTATTATTTAAAAAATTAATTATGTTAAAAGTTAAAAATTATAAAAATACTAAAAATAACTCATAGTGTATCATTAATGCTTTTATCAACTATTTTTAAATCCTAAATACATTTTTTTATATTTTTGCAAATTTTACCTATTTTCCCGCGAATTTATACGGGAACTTATGGGAATTTTATTGAATTTACATGGGAATATTCGGGAACTTAAGGAATTTTTAGGGAATTTTCTCTTGACCCCCCATTGATTTTGGATTTTTGAAAAAATTGCCGTTTAAAAATGCAATAAAGATCTTACCCCACCCAATACCCCCCCCCCCCCCCCCCCCCCCCCCCCCCCCCCCCCCCCCCCCCCCCCCCCCCCCCCCCCCCCCCCCCCCCCCCCCCCCCCCCCCCCCCCCCCCCCCCCCCCCCCCCCCCCCCCCCCCCCAAGATTTTTCGAGAATTTTGTAAATTTTACCCCGGTCTACCCCCCTAAAATCCAAAACCTTGCTTAACCCTGTTATTATACATCTCTCTAATAGTAATATCATTGTCTGAGATCAACAGAAACTTAACCCTAAATTAGCGATTGTTTTATAAATTATTTAAAAAACATGATTAAAATATTAGTTATAATTTATGTGTCTTCTAAATATTAATAGAATTATTAACGTTTACAAACGTCCTATATATCTATAATATTTATAAATTAAAGTATTTTAATAAAAAAATTTAAGTAAGATATACATGTATTGTAAATTTTTATGTATACCAGTAATTACATATACTATCTTATGTAATATTGTATAAAAAATTAGATACAAAAATCATTGTTGATTTTATTATTAGCAATGTTTTAGTAAACATTTTCTTTTAAAAACAATATTTAATTTTTATACAAATATAAGACGAACTGATGTTTAACTAAAAATTAAATATAATAAAAGTTTAACTTAATTTCTTTAATTGGTTAACAAAAAAATAAATAATAATAAATGTTTAACACAGAGTTTGTAATTATAAATAACTTATAAATTTTCATATTATATTAAGTATTATATAAACTATATAATTTTATTTTGAAACCAAAAATGTTATAATAATAAAATGAGTTAATAGGGCATAAATTTCAATGAAACCAAACCTCATTGCACTCCTATAATGACTGTTTGTTGTCTCAACATATGTATTATATTTGGCATTTGAGTGTATAATAGTCCGATCGCTGTGTCGTATCCATGATGTCAATGATTGCGGATGTGATTCAAGATTGCACTCCAAGACAACACTACTGCCGACCGACACTCCTATCAATTGGTTTGGCGGCCAAATCAATGGCGGAACTGTTTATATCAAAGTTTATAAATATATATAAAATAAATGACATTTTATTAAAATTTATTATTTATTTTTAACAATTAATTATTCCGTCAATTTTTATTAGCATTATATACTATATATAATGCTATAACAATTATTGTTGAATTGTTTGAATAATATCTCAAGTTTAATATTGAGTATCATTAAGTTATCATTAATATTCATATTTATTTTATATAATTTTTTTTTGAATAATATTAATGTTTTTCTGAATATCTGAAAATAAGTTAAATAAAATTATTAACTTTTATATTTCAAAAATTTAAATATATTTGTTTAGTAAAAATTTTCGTCCTATAAATCTATAATATTTATAAATTAAAGTATTTTAATAAAATTTTTTAAGTAAGATATATTGTATATGTTATAAAATAAACTGATAGAATATATTGATCTTTTTTATAGAAAAAATTGATTTGTGGTAAATTAATTTATTTTTTGGCTATTAGTTTCTAATAAATGATCAATATTTTCTAAAGTCATTATTTAAAAATTGAGCCTGGATCATAATTTATATAAATAACATTATATTTTTATTAAATAAAACGTCAAAATAACAAAAGGTTTTGAAATGTTTTCTTAGTGTTTACATCTTTAACTATTTGTTCAATTTTTGTGAAAATTGTGAAAAATAGGCATTTGTTTTGAGTTTAAGTATTGGTCTCTTTTTTGGTAATAAATTGCCTCTAAGAGAGAGAGAGAGAGAGAGAGAGAGAGAGAGAGAGAGAGAGAGAGAGGGAGAGAGAGGAGAGAGAGGGAGAGACACACACACAGTCATACAATAGTTTAGTTAATGGTTTGTAAGAGCAGTAGGTTTGCGGCAAAACTTAATACTAGTAAAAGCTTTTGCTTTTAAATTAATTTTCTGATTATTTTACTATTTTTCCCGTAATTCACAAAACATTTTCAATATTTAATCAATTTTCATATTGAATCTAAGTTTTCTCATTAATTAATATTTATTTTTATATTAACAGTCAATGAAATATATTTATAGTTAAATTGTATTGTAATACATCTTAAATAGTGTCACTTTAGTAAAGTACAGTATCTATACAAATGGGTATCAAATATCTTAAATAACATCAATAATGTTGTCATAAAATGAATTGCTTTGACTATAATTTTAGGAAACTTTGTTGAATAAAAATGTTAATCATTTGATGACATATTTCATAAATACAGTGTATTTAAAAAAGTCAATTTAAGTATATTTTTTCATCGGTGGTGTGTTTTTGCTTGAATTAACTCAAAATAATGTTTTGTTTTCGTTTACTTCAAATTGTGAACTAAAAACCTCAGAGAATAAGATCTAATATCGAATAATCTATTGTTGTATTCACACAATGACTGAAATATAATAAAAGTCTTCCCTTTCACTGAGCACTGGGACTTCAATAAGCCTTAAAAGATAGCAAAACAAGATTTAATAAAAGCTGAGAAAAGAGAAGAGAAGAGAGAGTCAGAGAGAGAGAGAGAGAGAGAGAGAGAGAGAGAGACAGACAGACAGACAGACAGACAGAGGATGGAGAGGGAGACTGAAAGCTGACACTGAAAGACCAGGAGATGAGAGACTGACCCGTGTTTTGGCTTTTGGCGCAACTATTTAACTGCAATACAAACTTCATGTCTAGTGATGCAAATCTATCATTACTTCGATTGTAAACTTGATATAAATATTAATGTTTTCATATGGACTTAATATCGACTTATTAAGACAACTGATCAATAGATTGATAGCAAGAAATATATCTATAGATAGATAAGCTATACATAAATAGTTGATTTTATAAATATTGTAACATATTATTCATTGGCTAAGAAGTGATTTCTAACTCAATCCTTATATTACAATAAGCAATGATTAATGAAATACAATAATATGTAAGTTAAGAGAAAGACAACAAATGACACAAACAATAAATATGATAATATAGTACATTATATACAATATATATATAATTCTGTATATATTATTTATTTTGTAACTCAAACTTAAAATGTGCTAAAAATTTTGCCACTCTTTGGCATTTGTTTGGTATTTGAAAATGTTTGTACAAAATGAGCACAACTTGTTTGCTATAATCTTGAAAAATGTAATCTCAATCAAATTGATGAAATAGACCAACAAAATTGAGACTAAATAGAGAGATAGATAAAGATATTTAACAGTTAACTTGAAAAAGTGATGTTCACAAAAAATATTGACATTTAGCGCATAAAATGTATTGAATTTGATTGTATATCTAAATAAGATTTCAAGTCATTTATTGATCTGTTTGTTTGATCTGCTGGTCTTCGTTTGGTTTAAGAGTTGTAGGAAATGAGTCTCAATGGGAATGATATCATTGACCTGTTTATGTGATTAAACCATTTATTGATTGATTGAATTTGACTTACATTTTATTCCTAAAAAGATGCGTTTGCTTACAGCCGGTGGTATCCTATATATTATTGTAAGATATCAAACATTCAATGCATTATTAGATTTAAATGAAAGTACTCTCATTCCAAGCATTCATTACTATAGAAATCACGTAAAAATTATATATCCATAATATTAGTGATGATTGTGTTTATGTGGTTATGTATATAATATTATATATACACTATAATACCCAACTAATGTTACCCAACTCTCACTCCTCTATCGATTATTTTGTGTATTTTCTATCATTGTCTGAAACACTATCGCAATGGTTTGTCAAATATAACAAACCTATCATTGAATAATGATTTTTATGTCCCACTATTATATTAAGTCATTACCGGCTCCTGACATGACTATCAATCGTTATGCTATTAATAAAAGTCCGCACAGAATATGTTTTCATACGAGTTATAGCCAGTTATGGGCAACCCTTTTGTTTCACACCAATACAACAATATTACTAAATACCTAATGAAAAGATATAACTATTATTTATTACATGTTATAAATGTTCAAATAATATGTGTCCGCTTAAATAAACCCCAGATATGAACATATAATTTGCCTTTAAATCTTAATACATAAAAAATTACTTCAATACAGTAGTATTACAACAAAACTGTTAACACAATATTTGCTAATAATAAACATAAAAGACTCGATAGACTAAATGTATAAATTCAATCAAAGTTTTTTTTACTTAACGAAAATTGTTTAATAAAATTATTTTTAAATATATAAATTTAATTCAATTTAAAAAAAAATTTACCCGTTTTTTGCGATGCATATGTAGGCGCCTGCAAAAAAATCATTATATTTATATAAAAAATTTTATAATAAATTTATTTATGTTTGTTTTATTGTCAAATATAAATACTTTTATATATGTTTTATATAACTCAGCGAAAAACGAGATCATAACATGTGAAGCCAATTATATTTTTCATGAAATATTAGATTTAGAAAATTTTTAAGACTTGTTATATATATATATATAGTATTATACTGTAGTATATAGTGTACAGTATGTTATGATATATGAAAAGAAGAGCAAAGATGCGAACAAAATGAATGTTAAGCCCAATAGAGAGTCATATATTGTTTGGACTCACTATTCGAGTGATGCAAACAATGAGCAGAATCTCAAACAATTGTTTATTATAAGTAAAGTTAAGGATATTTCTGTAAATATAAATATTACTGTAATTCATATAATAATATATTTTTATTTAGGATAACATATAAATAGATGGGATTTTGCAGCACTGGTAATACTATAAGATGTCTTTCCCTCTTATAACTCCTATTCTTTAGTAAACTGTATTCACATAACCATTACATACATTGGAGGCGTTCTCCACACTAGAGAACAGACATTATATTTTATAAGTCTTCATAAATAATAATATACTCTCAGATTCAACAATAATAATAATAATAATAAGTTATGTTAAATAATTGCTATTTGAAAGCACTTCACCAAAAGTGTCACCAGAATTGAGGCCAAAAAAGAGATATTTAATTCAATAGACAGAGAACTAAGTAAAACGCTATTTAGTATTCAATCAAAATTAACGGCAAGAGATTGTGACTATTAATTAATTTTAGGCTAATTTATTCAAACATTTATAATATAATTTATTTATCCTTATCTTAATCATTATTTTCATCAATTTTGTAATTTGATAAAAACATTTTAATATATATAAGTAATCATATGATTTGTTATATCGACAAAATAATTTTTTGCTAAAATAACATTAAAAACTTTATTATAAGCATCCTATCAACTTTATTAGAGTTTCAATCACAATAATACTGGTGATTAGTTTTATTGCAAAATTATTCAAAACATTTGTAAAAATTTAATCAAATGGAAGTTTTTTTCTAATAAATTTTTTTTACTGTAAGTATACCATGTTTTAATATATAAACATAATTTTTATCATTTTTAAACGATTATCTTATCATAAAATATTTATTTTATTATTTGTTATATATATATATATATAATATTTATAAAAATTTAAATATTAATAAAACAAATAATTAAAATTTCAATTTATTTTCAATTTAAATTATCATAACTATTAATTTTAGAGTCAAAATATTAATCTATTTTATTTATTTAAACTTCTCAATATTTATGTTAAGAAATGAGTGTTTACTGTATGATTTATTTAATATGCATAATATATCTTTTTGAGTTTTATATGCAAACTATATAAATTAATGTATAATATTGATATAATAATTATTTGTTAGATATCATAAATGCTAAATCTATTAACGCTTTAGCAAAATGTTTTCGATTGCTAGTAAAGCCAATATAAATGAGTCGATTCAATAATTTTTGCATATATTGTCGTTTAAACACACATTTTATACACACATTTATTATCAATATCAATAAGTACTTTTAAAATGTGTTAAAAAGTAATTTTCAAAAAGAGATGACTCAATTGAAACTATGCTTAACTTTGTAAAGCCAGAGATTCACATACAGTAACATTAAATTGTAATGTAGTTACCGCTTGAAAGTTGTGTATCACAATAAATAAGCTTAGATTTTTAGAAAGTATTATATTTAATATATATATATATATATATGAAAAGAAGATAAAAGAGCATAAAATTATGTTTTAAAACAACTTATTTATTTGAATAGGAAAGACATAGTTAAGACATACGAACCCATATGAAGTCGAGTAACTTTCGTTATATTGAGAAACTCTCCATTTATGACGGTTTCTATCAAAACAAACCATTAGTATTACAACAATTTGTATAAACACTTAAATCTATGCAAACATTATTTCCCTTAAAGAGCTTCCAATTAGTCTCTCAACAGTTAAATTAAATTTATGGTAAAAATACTGTAATACTATTTAAACTTTTATATAAACTTTCTTATGAACGGTATTTTCATACTAAACACTAAGAAATAAATAGTTTTATTAAACAAATTAAACTATATAACTAAATAAAACTGTATTTTTAGAAATAATAAAATCAATAAATAATAATAATAATAATAATAATAATAATAATAATAATAATAATAATAATAATAATAATAATAATAATAATAATAATTATAATTATTATTATTATTATTATGTTATCATTACAGTACTATTACCTTTATGACTTTTCATAGTGCCGTTAGATGAATATAAATCAATTGGCTGTTCATCTTCACGACGCCACTTGATTTGAGGTTCAGGAGAGCCATTGGCACTACATCTTAAACTGACTGATGAGTCTTCTCTGACTTCTTCATCAGAAGACGTCAACTTATGAACAAAATGAGGCGGAACTAGTGGTGACATTCAATTATAATATATTATATAAAAGTTATGAATAATATTATCTTATAATGTATTCAATGCTAAGACCAACCAACAATCTGCAGGAACCCACTCTGACTCATCATAGGATTGGTATTTATTTGGCACATGTATTCACCACTATCTTCTTCTCTGATATCACGTATTTGAAGATTAAAGGTATTTGCCGCGTGAGTGCTGACAGACAATCGACCGGATCGGTAAATGACAACATCATTGATGGCTAATAGGATGTGCCTGTCTTTGTGAAACCAAACCACCTAATCATTGAAAAAACAACACAATACTGTTTACTGTCACCACATAACATGCCATCAATCACCTAAATCTAAGGGATAACCATCTAAACAATGTTATTATAATATGTATAACAATAGCTCATTTTGATCATACAATTCTCATAGCAAGTCATGTGTCCTTAAATGACACTTTAGTGCATTGCTTAACACAAAAGTCAGCAAAAAATGGTGTTAAAAGTCATAAGTATTTGCAATGTTTGTCAATGTTTTAAAGATTTATATTAAATGAGATTTACTTTATATTCCTTCTTTAAGTTGTGGACAATGCATGTGAAAGTGGCATCTCTACCGACGGGAACCGTTATATTATTGAGTTGATCTGCAAAATATGGCAAATCGTCGCTCTGCACGTCTTTGGCATATATAACTGGTATTAAGCTGAGGCTAACTGTGCCTGAAAAGGGCAGTTCAATGATTAGATTGATGGTTAACTTTAGAGATGCTCTTATATATAATAGCATAACAGTGTATGCACTCATTGAATGAGTCATTCATTACATTATATAAGTTATGCTTAAATTTAGTGAAAAGAGAGTGATGTCAAGCAAAGACAGTAACATATTATACCATTGAGTGTATTATTGTGTAAAACAGTTAACTTACATGTTATATATGCGCACAGTTTGAGGGCATAGTTGTGAGGCATGAGGCCTATGATGTTTGAAAAGGATGGTTTGCATTGACTTTTGCCAACTTTTCCATTCATCGCAGTCTTTCTCAATGTCTATTAGTTTGTCTCCTCTGTTCTGGACTTTTATCCACTGCTTGTTTGCTGATGTCTAGTGGTGTGCGTCGATCGAGACGTCAAATGATGGAAACACATAGTCAGTGATAGGTCTAAGAGTAGCAAATGATAGATGAAATCGATGATCTGTTAGTATTTGTTAAAGAGCTGCACAACTGGTCTTCAAGTATGTCAACACATCTAATAGCCAACCATTGATTGGATTTGTTTAACGATTAGACTCAGTGGCGATGATTTGCACAATTAAGACACCAGAAGGACTTGGAATGACGTTTGGTTCGGTTTGATCGGCACTGGTATACAGTTATACAGTTAGTCAGTTAGGAGTGGAACACAAGTGCCATAAGTTGGCGTTTTCTATGTTTCTTAAGTTACGCTAATATCTACTGTGGATTGCATTTACTGAATGCTCTGCAATAATGCGATCGATAAGAGTGACTGACTATCCTTACTATCCTTACAACTATACATCTCATTCACTCTGTGTGCACATCACTACATCCCAGTTGTACTGAACATGTAGTACATCCAGAGCATAGCTAGTCAGGCACTACCAGTGCCAGTCATGCCAGTCATGTTAGGCTCAAATGCGCCTCTCTTTCTACTGTAACTACTTTTCCCCCTTGAAATATGACACCAATCATCTCATTGTCGATCAATTGTAAGAAAGACTCATATGAATGAGTGACTGTGTGTGCGAGCGAGAGAGAGAGAGAGAGAGAGAGAGAGAGAGAGAGAGAGACTATTATATTTATGCAGTAATTTCTTATTTACATAAAGTGTTTGAAACAATAAGATTTGATAATCCGTTTTATACTCAAAATTCAAGCGACACAACAATCATATCAAACATATTAGAGTCAAAGTATAACAAAAAGTTTGTCTCAAAATAAATTGCATTTCACGTCACATTTTATTTATCGTTTGTGAACAAAACAAACTTTAGTTTATATTATCTATAATACAGTATATATAATATATAAGCTATTGGTTTTACAAATATGAAGCCATACAAAGCACCAAAAATAATATTAAATTAATAATATTTTATTACATACAGATAAGTCGGCCTTAATTATTATCTGTTTATTAAGCGTATAGTTACTATACTATAGTATATTATAAGTTATATATAAGCAATATATTGGTTATAGTCATAACAGTATAGTTAGTGTTATAGTTATACCGTATTTAATGTTCACTTTAATAAATGAAAGCCAAATGTGATTCATATAGGAATCGAAGGCTTTCTAATATAGACAACAACAACAACACAACAACTTTTATGTATCATATCATAAGTTATGAATTATATACTATGTGTTAGTGATAGTACACAACAAACTTATCAATATATTGTAATTTGCTAATATGCCAAACTTCATATAGTATTATTATTATTATATACTATTATATACTATTGTTTATATTGACAAAAGCTATAATTTAGTTAAAGAAAGTTTGCTAATTAAAAAATGTGGACTTAATTTTATAAATAACTTTTTGCAATAAAATTTAAAGTCCAACAGTAATGATAACGATTATAAAAACTTTTCACGATTTCCATTGAATTCAAAGTACATATTATGATGTTTTGTTTTATAGTGTTTTGTTATATGATATAACATTATATAACAAGACATGTGTTGTTAAAGGAAAATAAAAGACAAACTAAACAATAGTTGAATGGCTCGGGTATGCCATGCAATGCATTCCCGATGCGATTTTGCAGTCATTTACTATCCTTATTGTGTCAACACTTGCTTTTACATCAGTTTTAAGGCTAATTAAACTCTATATCACAGTTAAGTGACATATAATGACAATGAAATTATATGCTATTATTTATATTACATAAGCGGATGAAATTAAGTTTCACTTCCAATTACTTTACATTGTAATCATTCATTAACAGGTTTTTTAGCCAAAATAAAATAGCTGTTGATCTAAACATTAACTAATTTCTTAAAAAAAACATTTTTTTTTAAACATACATTAATAAAATACATTAATATAATTTACTGTTCAGTAATATTGTTCAATCATCTAAAATACAATTATAGGTTTATTAGATATCAATTTCCAGGAAATTATGCTGCACCAAAATTGGTAATTTTTAAAAATGTTTTTATAGATTTATTAAATTTTGACATTTCCATCAAACTTATTTCTAATATAATCTTTAAGATTTATAAATATTCAAAATTATTTTAATTTAACATGTACTGCATTTAACCACATTTTCTGAGTAAATTTTAACAAAATCGTAATAAATCATAAATAACAAATTAATCAAGTTGTTAACACTTGTAATATATTTTTATGTTTAGTATGTATTATAATAAAAAATTAATAAATTATATTGAAAATAAAATTAAAACTCTATTAATAATAAAATGACTCCAAATTAATGAATTATTTATAATCCATATTATTATAAATATATGTAAAAAAATTTCAATAAGAAATAGACTAAGATATCATAAATAGATTAATTTTATTACAAACCAGTTTTGAATGTTAAGCCTAGCAATACTAGACACACTTCTGACCAGAATATTGCTTAAAATATAAAAATAATAATTAATAGTTATTTTGTTACAACTTTTGTTGTTTATTTATGGTTAGGGGTTATGGGTAGTTAAGGTGTTCAAAAAGGGGTCAAATTGTCTAATAGTGTAATTAAAATAATAGTTACTATTATACGGTATGATGAAAGACATGAGTAGAAGTGGATGTAAATAGTATTGCGTAAAAAATATTTATTTAAAAATTAAAAATATTTAATAAAATATTTATTTATTTTTCAAAAAATACTGTCATTTTTCAGTAAACTGAAATATATAATTAATAATTTATTTTAAACTATTTGAATTACAATTAATATAATAATAATGTAATATTTCAAATTAATGTCATCAAAATTAAGAAAATTAAGTAAAAATACACTTTTAATTTTGTTTTCTACTAATATAACTAAATAATATAATTATTTACTCATAGATTGCATTCAATTGTTGAACATTAACATTGCTTTTTTACAGTTTTACATAAAGTAATATTTTTACTAATTTTTATATTATAGAATTATCTGTATATTTATTGTTTGTTAAAAACTATAAATATAAGCAAAAACTAGTCATTATATAAGTTATATTACAGTTTTATCTAATAATATTGTACTAAAAACGCAAAATATTAAATTAAATATTTTTTATGCATTAATCATATATACCCTGAATATAAAACATCTTTCTTAAGAAATAAAAGTGTTATTTACATTGAAATTCCTTTTATGTTTTTATGTAATATTTGATTTTAAACTAGAATTTGAAAAAATTTCTACAATCAGACAGTTAGTAAATTGAGATACAATATGTTAGTGAAAATTTGTATTTATTTATAATAATAATTTTTATGATATTATTCTTAAGACTACTGTATATTTATAATAATAATATATGACTTTTATTACAGTAATAATTTTAATTAATTAATTTAAAATAATGTCATTGATTTCAAAGGTTAGCACTTATGGTCCCCTCTTTGGATGAGATGAGCAAAGAATTTGATAAAACACTTGTATTGAGACTATTGTGGATAAGACTATAGATGTCAGATGTTGTGACACAACTGTTATTCATATAATCATAGAGAATGTGTTACAGAATATGACTGAGAATATTGTGTAATACAATAATACAGTACTGTATAGCAAATGTTTACTCTATTATATAATATACGGGATATTGTCTATCATATGAAATGTTAATATGAGTTAACACTGTTGTAGTACAGCTGTCGTTAAATTTTGGGAACAAATGACTATAGCATTGCATTGACACTCACTTATAGATATAGATATATCAAGAATTGACTTTCTTTTCAATTATAGTTAACATATCTGACATGTTTTAGACGTAACTCAAGAATATTACAATTTTGTTATAAAGCGATGGCTAAGTCATTGGTTAAGTCCATATCGAGTACATTGAAGAGTTCACCTCATGATGAAGGGTATGATAACAAAGTCATACAACCAGACACTGTCAGCGATGCTGAAGACGAAAATAATGATCAAAATAATCCATATATTAATGACTCGACTATTATTACACAATTGGTCTTAAATTCTAGTATAGGATCTCACTATAAACCACAGATGGGCGGACCCTTCTCGTCACTTCATCCATCCATATGGCCTGAAGATATCATAGCAGCTCTTTCACAACCAGAAGATTCACAACCACCCCATCATTTCAATGAATATGGATTCATAACAGAATCTATAGATAAATTAAGACATCACAATGAGAATCAATTACAAGATTTGGATGAAGATAAATTTGCATCGATTTGCAAACACAAAGAAGATGAGCTAAGATCTAAATGGATCTGTTATCTCGAGTTTAATTACAACAAAGAAGCCATACCACAGATGAAATGGTCTCAAGTAGACATTCAGATGAAACACACAAAAGTAATAACTGAATTGATTAAAGAAGGTATTTGTTCTTCATTAAGATCAGCCATTTGGATGCGGACATCAAAAGGGATGACACTTAAAGTAAACAGTAACTGGAGTTATACACAATTGTGTGACCTTTCCAATCACGTCCCATCCCTTTCAGACAAACAAATATCAAAAGTTTTGCCGACAAACGCGTGTTTTATGACAAGTAATTCGGTAGGTATTGAAAGACTTAGAAGAATATTACGAGTTATCAAATGGTTAAAGAAAAACGGGACCACTGTTTACAATATGAGTCGGGAATCAGTTAACCTTTCAATTATCGCCGCATATCTGTTACTCGTTTGTGAAGAAGAAGATGCCTTTTGGCTAACGCTCTCAATAATCAATGAATTGAAATCATTTAGTCATCAAAAAACACTCATTTCATTAATTAGCACTCATTGTCCACAAATTGATGAAATACTTAAACAACACGACATTGAAATAAGTCTTATAACAAATCACTGGTTTTCGACTCTCTTCGCGGCCTTCATTCCCGACACAAAAACTCTCTTCCATTTATGGGATCTTTACTTCTATTTTGGATCAATTGTTATATTTCAGTTGACATTAGGACTTCTTGTTTCTCAAAACAACATAATTTGTGATAATAAAGACTCGGCTAATATTTTTAATGCATTATCAGATTTACCGTCACATTTGAAAGATTATTCATCTTTATTATCAATTTGGAGTTCTGGTGAACAGTTAGTCCAACATTTACCTTCAAATCAGATACAAAGCAATGCGATGTCTGAAAGTAGTTCCAATAATTCTTCATTATTACAGTTGCCATCATTTAATTCAGAAACCTCTGACTCAGACTTAAAAACCAAAAATATAAGACAAACTTCAATTATTTTAGAGTTACACGAAGCTATCGAAGCTATTGGACGTCACTTTGAAGTTCATGAACCGGGATTTAAGGCTAATCTAACTATTGATTATTCAAATATCGATATTATTGATGACGAAGACGAAGAAATAAATAAAAGAAGACAACAAATGAAATTAAAGAGAGCAAAGGCTTTGATTGATTTTCAAAGACACGATTCCGATGAATTGGGATTCAGAAAGAATGATATCATTACTATAATTAGTGAAAGGGATGAACACTGTTGGGTCGGGGAGTTGAATGGTCTGAGAGGTTGGTTTCCCGCAAAGTTTGTCGAAATTCTCGATGAAAGAAATCAAGACTATAGTATAGCTGGTGACGATCGGGTCATACCTTTTATCAATGATTTAGTTAGGGGTCGACTATATTTAGCTCTAAAAGCAATATTAACTTATGGAATGAAGAGGACTTTATTCATGACAACTCATCCCTGGATTATAATAGAATCCATTTCCAAGGCTTGTGCTGAAAGTGATTTCAATTCAGTTTATTCCCGACTAGTGTTGACCCGAACATATCATTTGGACGAATTTGCAAGAGTTTTGACTCCTTCAGAGCTTTTATACAGAAGTATAGCTCATATAAACCATACCCATGAAAATGAGGCAATGGATGTTAAACTAAGATCTTTAGTATGCATTGCATTAAACCAAAGTATTCTTCATGAATGGTTTGTTGTCATTTGCGCCAATCAACCGCACATCATATCCAAGTGGTACTACAACTGGAGCTTTCTTAGTAGTCCTGTTTGGAAAATGATTAAATCAGAGCTTAAGTAGGTTTCAATAAAAAGTCATTTATTACAATATAAAGCATAAAAAGTAAATAAAAAAATATTTGTATTTCAGATTATTGACACAATTTTCATTCAATTTGGACCCAAATGTAGAACTTCCGGAAAGCATTCAACCCAAGTCTCCCGTCTCGAAGGATGGCGTCAGAGATATGTTAGTAAAACATCACTTATTTTCGTGGGATATTTAAAGACAACAAACAGTTAATCTTAAATTTTTATTTAAATATACTAAAACCACAAGAACTGTATTTTTGAGCACAATCTTTGCCTTCTTTGCCATATTGTTGAGCCATTAGATGTTCCTCAAGAAGTCCTTCTTCATCATAAGATCGCGAAACATCTAATATATGCTCTAATATCTCATGAAGTGATGATTCAATAAGTAATGGAGTAGTGGCTAACTCACAGATTGCTCTGTAAATGCAGTTCCGACCGTCGATTCCATACCTGTATTGTCATACAATATACTGTATTGTAATTTACTGTAGTATACTATACAACAACAAAAGAGTACTAAAATCAAACAAACCTTTCAAGAGTGTCACCAATTGAGTTGAAGAGATCATATCTATGCTGTGCTGCTGCGGCGTCAAGACTTCGCTTAATTGCTTGATGTGTAGCAAAATATGGCGAAGCATTGGCCGTCCCATAGTATGTATCATAACTGTAGTAATTTGGCAAAAATGACGGATAGTTGAGTGGAACGGCTGCTGCCTGTGCTTCTGGCATAACAACGTACGGAATAGTAATTGGATTTAATATAAGTGTGTCATTAAGCATTGTTATAGACAATGGGAACGATAGATCAAGTTGGACATCAACACCACCTAAACTTGGCACTGGTATACTTAGATCAATATCAAAGGAAATCTTTGAATTCTTTGTTAGCACAAAACGGCGAACTCTATGGTGACTTTCAGTGGACTCTTCACATTCAATGACAGTACATATGATAACTATAAGATAATATAATAAGAAAGTCTTTAATTTTGATTTCATATTAAAATACAGTATATATTTATATAATACGGATTAACTCATAGACTATGCAACTGTTCTATAGATAGACTAATTATTAACTATAAGAAGTTCACCGAAAATATATAAATTAAATAAAAACATTATTAATATTATATCACAAATAATAATATTTTTTATACATATGACAAAGCAATTCAACAAATAAAGCATTAAAAATAAATTAAAATTAAGAAATACTTCCCATCATAGATGAGACAGCATTCAAACCTCTCGACCTAATCGTTAGCAAAAAGCAATGTCATTATTAATGACCTTATAATTGATCGACATTTACAATATACAGTATATTGTTATTCACAATATCTCTCATCAAACTATAAATACATTTAAATAATATAAGAAATAGTTATTCAAATGAAATTATTAACCAAATCATCAATTAATTATATCACAATATGAAGTCAAATATACCGGTAATTGTTTGCTACTTAATTGTTATGACATATAATATATATAACTGTGAAAAAGTTCAAAGACTAGTATTACCATCATTGGCGTCATCTTTGAGGATAATCCCGAGCGTTCAGATGCCAATTGTTACATCCAATTCAATACAATCAGGATTCAGTTTCCGACTTCCCATTGCTATACAATTTCCCAGTGCTCTTGACTTCGCTCAGTCTTTTAGACAAACATTATATAATGGAAATACCATTGACTTTATGTCTTCTTCGTTGGACTCGAACCGGACAAGAGTTACATCGAGAGCCAACTTATATCGAGCCATAGAGAAAACACACAGTCGTTTGGGTCGAGTTTGTCTCCTAAGAGCTATCTGTGAGGTCGCCGAAGTGCCTTTCATGTCTGCATCACATGGTTTGATTGGACAGCTAATTGATATGCTCTTAAGGTATATATATTTATCATTTCAAAACAAATGACAATTTTTAATATTATTATTTTCATTTGTTTCAGTTCTTCTCTATTAACTGATAGCACTGGTGTATTAAAAAGATATAAAGAGGCAGAAATAATAGGTAAAAGTGGTTCAAAAAAGCAGAGATGTAAAGCACATTATAAGGAATGTCCGTTTTCTTTATTCAACTTTCTTGACGTTCCCATCGGTGGTTAAACATTTATCAACAATTTATTTATTTATTTATTTATGAAGTTATTTATTAATATTAAAAATGTATTTATTTTTATGCAATTATTATGAGATTTTTGTTGAGATTTGGTTTATATTTTAAAAGCTTTGAATAGTTATCCAAAAGTATATCCCAATAGCACTGAACCGACTCTAAAGTCAAATGTTTCCAAATAAAATCAAAGCCTTTTTCGGCTATTTTTTGTGCAATTTTGTCGTTAGATTTTAAAAACATTATCTTCTCTTCTAAATCATTCATATCTTCAGCTACGGGAACAAAATGAATCCATGGTTTAAGTTGAGGGTAAAAGAACTCAATCCAATTAGAGTTGACATTCAAAACAAGTGATTTACATAAAAACAAGTGTTTATATCTGAAAGAAGCGGCCACTCCTCTCATGTTAATCAGGTATTTATATTTGCATTGATCTTCAAAGGAAATTGTAGGCACCGGCTGTTGACCTAATGTGTCGGCCACTGACTTCCACGCCTGGTTTGCCGTGTATTGGGCGTCAATTAGATCTGGTTTATCGCGACTTAAAAAAATTAGAGTATCTCTTGACGATGAAGTACGCGAACCTCTGAAAAATGCTTTCGAAGACTTGTGTTTCCATTCATCATTCCTCTTAGTTATAGATTGTCTCATTAGATCCCATCTACCAATTCCTGTAGGGTATCGATCAATTGCCGGCCCTCCCGCCCAAAATGTCCACGCGGGGTATAGTATGTCATTATATTGTGTCGTGTCTTTTGAAAAGGAAAGCACCGGTAAGTCATCCCAATTGTTGTGCACTTGAGGATAGTCTCTGACATTAATGATGAGATCCATGTTTGGTAATTGATTAATAGCTTTCTTAATGAAATACTCGATGCCCTGACATCGGGAGGGAAACATACAATCCATGTCCCGATAGAGTGTATGATTAATGACCTGATAGTGAACGCCGCGCTTTTGCCGAATGGTATTATCAATGCTACTCTTCGTGATTCCCGATTGTATCCAATGTTTTATGTCTTGGTTAAGAAAATCAAGAAAAATATCACAAGAAGTGTTTGTCGACTCGTATGAATCCATGTGTTTAAAGTCTTTTTCGGCTCTTTCAATGGCATCATAAAAGTGATGCCATTTGTGGTCAAAATCTTCATTTGTCTTTCGATAATACTTAGCTTTTTCATGATTTTCACTCATTTGATCCGATTTTATACCATTTATATCAAATAAAATGTATATAAAAATTATATATAACTTTATAATTATAGTTAAAAACATTATTATTTATATTTAAATTTTAACGATAAAATCAATTTAATTAATCAAAGTTTTTTAAAAAACTTAAGGATTGGTTGAAAACATTAAATATATTTTGAAAACAAAGTAAACTTTAATAACAAATAAAAAAAGCAAAACATTTTGAATCAAAACTCTATTAATGTTATGAAAGTGAATGAAATGAATAACGTTATGAATATATTAAACATTATTTGATTGCATAAAACATAAGACATAAGACATGTGTTGGTATTTACAATATATTTGATGATTAAGTGATGATAATTAGTGACCACCGATGACATGGAGAAAGAGCAGTATAGGGGCACTAATGTTGGTCTTAAGTTAAGTCAGTTGTCATTCAGTATTCCCAATGCCATTGATCTCCGGAAGCAGAGTCACATCCAATGCATTAATAAACTTCTTTATGACTCCAACTCCGGAAAGACCCGAAAGCCGGCTCTTTATGGAGTTTTGGATACACGACTCGGTAATGATTTGGTCATCAAATTAATAGACAATTATTGATATCTAGAATTATTCACATATTTAGGGACGAGTCAGAAGGATCTGAAATGCGAAACGTGTGGCCACGGGTTAGCCGAATGTGTTGGCCATTTCGGTTATATTGACTTAGCTCTACCCGTGTTTCACGTCGGATACTTCCGGTTTATTCTTCTTATTCTACAAACTATATGTAAAAAGTGTTCGCGAGTTCTTTTGCCAATTGAATTAAGAGATCGTTATGTCTGGAGGTTTCGCAAACCAGACCTAAATTTTCTCGAGAAGAAAGCCATTCACAAAGAAATTGTTGACAAATGCAAAAAAGTTAAATACTGTCCGTTTTGCGGCTCATATAACGGACAGGTCAAGAAAGTGGCACTTTATAAAATCATACACATGTGTACACCAAATACGACTTCAAAGTCTAAGAAATCCGATGAGGTATTGATTGACAACTTTAATGAAATTGCTTTTAATAATGAAGACATCGTTGAGTTTATAAGGAAAACTAAAGCAGAACTATTAGATCCGATACGCGTTTTAGATTTACTTAAATATATACCAGAAAAAGATTATTCACTTCTAGTCATTCATAGCCACAAACCCGAAGATCTTATTCTAACCAGAGTTACAGTTCCTCCATCTTGTATTAGGCCATCGGTAATTAGTGAATTAGAAACGGGAACCAATGAGGACGATCTGACTATAAAACTAAGTGAAGTAATATTTGTTAACGACATTATAGCTAAGCGTCGGTCCAGTGGTGCACATATGGGAATGATTGTCGAAGACTGGGATTTTCTTCAGTTACAATTAGCTCTGTATATCAATAGTGAGATATCAGGGATTCCATTCAATATGAGACCAAAGAAACCAAGTCGTGGATTAGTTCAACGATTAAAAGGAAAACACGGAAGGTTTAGAGGAAATCTTAGCGGAAAACGTGTAGACTTTTCATCGCGAAGTGTCATTAGTCCCGATCCTAATCTTCAGATCGATGAGGTTGGAGTTCCCGAACACATCGCCAAAATATTAACATATCCCGAACGCGTCACTCCGGCCAACATTGAACTTATGAGGCAATTAGTTCTTAATGGAACTGATTTACACCCCGGAGCTAACTTTGTTGAAGATAAGACATCTGGTCTTAAGACGTATTTATAAATTATAATTTTAAAAAATTAAGAGAAATTATTTTTATTATTGTCGTATAAATAGGTTTTTAAAGTATGGCAATCGTAAGGCGGTTGCGTCTAAACTCAAGAATGGGGATGTCGTGGAAAGGCATCTATCAGACGGTGATATTGTCTTATTTAACAGACAGCCATCTCTACACAAATTGAGTATAATGTGTCATAAAGTTAGTTAAACTTTTAGTGTATATACCGTAATATTGTTACTAATTTTATATGTGATTTTTATGACAATTATTAGGCGAAAGTACATAAACACCGGACTCTTCAATTCAATGAATGTGTTTGTACGCCATATAACGCTGACTTTGATGGCGACGAAATGAATCTGCATTTATTACAAACTGAAGAAGCAAAAGCTGAGGCATCGGTACTCATGGGAACTAAAAATAATATAATAACTCCAAGAAATGGCGAGCCATTGATTGCTGCCATTCAAGACTTCATTACTGGTGCTTATCTTCTTACACAAAAAGATATATTTTTTGATCGCGCAAAAGCTATGCAAATAATTTCATCAATTATGGCTGGATCTGACTCGAAGACTATAATAGATTTACCAAAACCTTGTATTTTAGTTCCGTGTGCTTTATGGAGTGGTAAACAGATATTTAGTTTGATCTTAAAACCTAATAAAAATAGTAGAGTTAATGTAAATCTTAAGACTAAAGGCAAGAATTATAGCGGAAAAGATGAAGATTTATGTGTCAATGACTCGTGTAAGTGATATATTATTGTAATATTAATATATAATTTATTAATTATACAGTATTTGGCAATTAGATAATTATAATAAACTTTTTATTATAGATGTCATCATAAGAAACAGTCAATTACTCTGCGGTTGTGTTGAGAAAACGACATTAGGTTCGGGATCTAAGAATAATATATTTTATTGTATTTTACGTGAATATAATGGCGATGACGCCGGGCTTGTTATGTGGCGTTTGGCTCGTGTGACCAGTTATTTCATCGGTAAATATTAATTAAAATAACTTTTATTACAATTTTTAATTCATATGTCAAATGTGTATTCATTTATGGTAAGTCAGACTAATAAGTTTTAGTAATAATTCACAAAATATCTATTATACTGTAGTATTCATATATTTTTAATTACCGATACTATTGTTATGATGATAATAGTAATAATTATTATTATTTATAAGTTATTATTAGTTACCGGTATTATGATATTATGGTTATATTTTAAAATTTGATTGATTTATAATTTTAATTATTAGCCCAAAGAGGCTTTTCATTGGGCATTGAAGATGTAACACCAACTAAGGGTCTGATAGAAGCCAAGACATCTCTTTTTGAAAAAGGATATAAAAAAGTTGACGAATATATTGGAAAACTAAAAGAAGGAAAGTTAGAAACAATGGCCGGACGATCGGCTGAAGAAACGTTAGAATCGATGATAAATAAAGAGTTATCTGAAATTCGAGATCACGCGGGAAAAGCGTGCGTTAAGGAGTTGGGAAACAAAAACGCACCGCTTTTGATGGCAATGTGTGGCTCCAAGGGATCACTTATTAATGTCTCACAAATGGTTGCATGTGTTGGTCAGCAAACTATTAGAGGAGAGAGAGTGCCCAACGGTTTTGGTGACCGAACATTACCTCATTTCAACCACAATGAGAAGTCTCCGCTCGCAAAGGGATTTGTAGAAAATAGTTTTTATTCGGGACTCACGACAACCGAATTCTTTTTCCATACAATGGCCGGACGCGAGGGGTTGTTGGATACGGCCGTCAAAACAGCCGAAACCGGTTATATGCAGAGACGACTTGTTAAAGCTCTTGAAGATTTAGTATCACATTATGACGGATCTGTTCGCAACTCATGTGGTGATGTCATTCAATTTATTTATGGTGACGATTGTCTCGATCCATCCAATATGGAAGACGGTTCTAAACTTATTAATTTTGATCGTCTTCTTCAACATGTTTGTGCAGTTAATCCATGTAAAGATGAATCACCTCTAAATAGTTATGAGATTTATGAACTTTCAAAGAAACAAATGAGTGAAATGAATATAAATGTTTCCGAAAATTTTAAACAAGATTTAAGCAAATTTTTGGATGTTTTTGTAGAACAATTAGACCAAATTAAAAGACGTTATTCAAAGTATGTGGATAATGATGTCGTTAAAGAGATAAATAGATTGACACAAACACAACTCGAGAGATTTGTGGCGGCCAGTGCTGACAAATACTTGAGAGCAAAGATTGAACCCGGAACAGCTGTCGGTGCCATCTGTGCTCAAAGTATTGGAGAACCGGCCACTCAAATGACATTAAAAACCTTTCATTTTGCTGGTGTTGCCTCAATGAATATCACTCAAGGAGTTCCTAGAATTAAGGAGTTGATAAACGCAAATAAAACCATATCAACGCCTATTATAAGTGCTATTCTTCATAATGGTAGCGAACCAGATATGGCCAGAGCTGTCAAAATGCGTATCGAAAAGACTACTTTGGGAGAAGTGTGTGAATATCTCGAGGAAGTTGTGACAAGAGATGATTGTTTTGTTCTCATTAAACTATATATGGAAAGAATTAAATTACTTCGTCTGGAAGTAAACGCCCAAACAATACAAGAATCTATTGCCAAACAATTGAGAATTGCTATTAACAAAATATCAATTGTCGACGACGACCAATCCATAATAACGGTGTCGGCAACCAATGTCGACACCTGGACTTTGAGAGAAAATTTATGTAAAGTTGTTATTAAAGGCATCGATAAAGTTAGACGAGCGGCCATTCGTGTCAATGACGATAAATATTATCTTATGATTGAAGGCGAAGGGCTTAGAGATGTAATGGCGACATATGGTATTGATCCGAGACATACATTTTCTAATAACATTTTAGAGGTGGCGCACACACTGGGCATTGAAGCGGCCAGAACTATGATCATTAGGGAGATTAAGACAACAATGGAGCACCACGGCATCAGCATTGATGATAGACATCTCAAACTATTAGCAGACACTATGACCTATAAGGGAGAAGTGTTGGGAATCACTAGATTTGGTTTAGCAAAGATGAAAGAGTCATCACTTATGTTGGCTTCGGTTCGTATAATTTCTAATTTTTTTTATTAGTTTTATATCTTATGATAATTTTTTATAGTTTGAACGAACAGCTGACCATTTATTTGATGCGGCATATTATGGACAAGTGGATCATATTTTAGGTGTTTCCGAGTCTATTATATCAGGAATGCCAATGCGTTTAGGAACCGGTTTCTTTGATTTATTACAAAAGTCTTCAAAAGACAGTGATATCGATGAGTTAAAGACAAGAAAGTTGGTCTTCGATGACGACAGTCTTCATATAAAATTTGATTATAATATCGACGAACAATTTGCTCCACAATTAGACTCTTAGTAAACCATTAATTTGTGATAATATTTAACAGTTCATACATTTTTTTATTGTTTCCTAAATTATAAATTAAATTTGTAATTAAATTAATTAACTACTGAATGATTTGATTGATACTAACGTTTGATTGAAGCGCTTGTATTGAAAACATTAGTATTGAATGCATTGATTGGCTGTCATATAGTATGAGTCCAACCATTAGTGTTGTGTTTGGCATTCAATGAGTTTTCACTACTTTTTATGGATTTGTTTTGACTTTGTTTTGATTGACTCATAAAACTGATGACTGAATTGATTTACATTTCATTTAATTTCATTGATTAACGATTTGTTTATTTTAGTTATTATTTATCATTCATTAAATACAATGTGATGTCACATGTATTTCACGACTATATTGTTTTGATTGTTTACCTCTTAAGACTCAATTAATCAATTGATTCAGTGATTTGTTTTGTCTTTTAATCAAAAGACATCTGTTTTGTTTTGTTTAATAGTATCACCAATAGTGGGACCAATTGATTGACTATTGTTTAATTAGGTAGTGTCTTGAGATGGCGTCGACAGACAAGGAGGACGAGGAATTGACAATCCCGAGGGCGGCAATGAATAAATTGATCAAAGAGTTGTTACCCGATATTCGTGTGGCCAACGATTCACGCGAACTCATCCTCCAGTGCTGTTCAGAGTTCATCCATTGCATTACCTCCGAAGCCAACACTATCTGTGAATCGCAACAAAAGAAGACAATGTCCGCCGAACACGTGTTGACAGCATTAGACAAATTGGGTTTCTCTCACTATAAAACAGAAGCACAATCAGTGGTTAATGATTGCAAACGTAAGCGAAGACGACAAAGCACTCGATTGGAACACTTGGGTATTCCTGAAGAAGAACTTCTTAAACAACAACAGGCATTGTTTGCCAAAGCACGTGAAGAACAAGCACTTATTGAACAGCAAGAGTGGATCCAAATGCAAAACGCAGCCATTGCTCAACAAAACCAATTTGTTAACAACAATACCAACGAAGACGACGAATATTAATCTGTGAAGTGTTTCTATAAAAAGACGTCTTATTTTTATTTTTTATTTTGTTTAAAAACATTTTCAGTGACTATTATAATACTGTTTGTGTATTAAAAACAAACCTTTTTATTATATTAATTGTTAAATGACTACATGACTACTATAATAATGAGTGAAATAGTGTCACCCGATTATGACCAGTCATATATCGGTCGCGAATGGGTTTTCGCTAAATTAGAGAAGACTCTTGACCTCCGGACTCAACTTAATGTCAACACCTGTGTAACCGCAGTGTTTGGTTGTGCCGGAAGTGGTAAAACAGCTCTTTTCAAACAATTGATTGAAATTAAAAAATTTAAAGACTATTTGTTGGCATTTGTTGAGTGCACTCAAGAGTTAAATATTAAAAATTTTATTAATTCAGTTGAGTCACAAATGAAGGATAAATTAAATAATGAAAATAATTTAAGTAATAATATTAACACTGATGTCAATGAAGTACTTACTGTCGATGACTTGTTTCAAAAGTGTATATTATTTCCATTACTTGAGGCAAAAAATATGGAGAAAGATCAGCAAAGATATATAATAGTGTTGGACTCAATTGATACAAATGCAGATATATGTCAACTCATATCAAATCACATGCATTTACTGCCAAAATGGTTGCATATAATAATAAGCGCGCGACCGAAACGCCGCAAAGGATTTACTAAAATGTTTAGCGGTTCCCGAAAGATAGTTATCGACGATATGAGAAAATTAAATGTCATTAACGACATGAAGGCATTTATAATGCATAGAATCCGAAGTATCAATTGTCGGCCATTGGGAACCACTGGACGCAAAGCTCTCAATCAAATTGGCATTAAAAGTAACGGTTGTTTTCTTTATGTTAAATTAATCCTCGATTGTTTCGAAAGAGGTATTATTAAGACGAGTGAAGTGGACACTATCGGTGCCACACTTAATGGTCTTTATATTTATCTTTGTTCAAAACTATTTGATTCAAATATCGACTATGAGTTTCACTACAAATCCATAATCTCATTGATAATTGTGTCGCCAGACTTAGCAATGAGTAGAGAAGCTCTTGAAAAATGTCTTAATTGGGACATTGAGTTCTTAGACAACAGAATTGATGAGTTATGTATGCACTCTATTCTTGAGATAAATAATAATTATAAGATATGTTTGACACATACGACACTTATTGAATGGTTAACTGATGTCAAGCACTGCACCAATAGATTCTTATGCGACCAATCATTTGGACACATAATTCAAGCACTTTGTAATAGTCTTCCCAATATTAATGAACATCACTTTCATGTCTTTAACTCTTGTATTCCTAACTTTTCAATACATCACTACGCGCTTTGGCTATTGTTATCAATCGATACATCGATTAGTGTCCACACATTAACTCAATTGATTGAAGACTCGCCAATCATTCATTTCATACAAAAATGTAGAAATACTTTGAATGAAAGTCATTATATGTCTCAATCACTATCGATATGTGATTCAAATTCTCCAAAATATACTTCAAATGAAAATATTGAAAATTCAAATGAATTCAATGTTATCGATGAAAGTCCTCAACAAAGTGATACAGAATATGAAGATTTGGTGAATCAATTCAGTAAAGCTCTTCTCAAGTGTGATATACCTACTGTTCGGGACATTTTGACCAATGACTCGACAGATATGTTAAATCAATATATAATTGAAGAAAAGACACCATTATTTTGGGCCATCAATAGTGCCAACATATCTCTCGTTGAACTTTTGATTGAGTTTGAAGTCGATATTAACTGTGTTTGTGATATAGAGAGTGGTTTAACACCACTTATGATTGCCGTCTCTTTAAATATACTGGAAATGTGTGAACTATTGTTAGACAATGACTCTGATGTCGATGCGTCCGATACATTGGGTAGAAGTCCATTAGTTCACGCAATACTAGAGCACTGTTCGCCTAAAATCATTGAGCTGTTGCTCTTTTGGGGGGCGCATACAGACTATATCGATGCCAATGGATCATCGCTTCTGTGTTTGGCCTCAAGTGATATTAAGAGTTGTGTGGAATGTGTTCGTCTCCTTTTAGCTGTTGGTTGCGATGAACTTCATAAAGACAATAACGGAAGAACATCTCTTCATATGGCCGCTGCTGTCGGTAATACTGATATTGTAGAAGTACTTCTTGATATTGGAGGTGAAACACTATTAATGGTCAGAGACAATGATGGGAAGCTCGCATTACACGATTGTGCCATCGGTGGCTTTATTGATACTGCAAGACATCTGATAACTAATGAATCAATAAATGTGTTGTCACACGAAGGCAAGTCTCCTTTAAGACTTGCGGCACTCAATTCATACTTAGATTTGATGACTTTATTAATTGAAAACAATGCAAACGTCAACTACATTGATGCCGACGGAAGAACTACAGTATATTGTGTTGCGAGCAGTGCTGCCGATGATCTTAAGGTCATCGATATTCTGCAACATTTGATTAAATTAGGTGCAGATCTTGAAATTAAAGATCTTGAAGGACGTACTCCTTTACACGTGTCCGCCTGGCAGGGAATCACTCATGTGGTGCAAATACTTCTTGAATTTGGATCTGATGTCAACTCATTGGACAACGAAGGTCGCACTGCCCTACATATGTGTGCCTGGAATGGACACACAGAGATCATTACTCTTCTAATAGAAGCCGGCGCTCAACTAAATCAAGTGTCGACAACACAGGGCGCCACACCTTTACTCATAGCTGCACAACAGGGACACATCGAGACCTGTCAAATGCTTTTAAATGTCGGCGCAGATGTCTCACATATAGACTTTTATGGTCGCAATGCTAAAGATGTGGCCAATAATTGTGGTCATCGAGATATTGTTATTTTGTTAGAGTCTTATATGTCGAAAGTTGAAGAACAGTGTCCAACCCTTTCAAGTCATGCATCAACCGCTGAGACGGCGGCTATCGCTGAAATCGAGGCTTTGTTGCAGAGCTCAACCCAATCAAAGATTAAGACATCGCCTGATTGTCTCAACAAAAGTCAGAGTTCACGCAAACACAAGAAAGTGATGTCAATAAGCAAATTGACAAAACTGTTGCACTAATAATACAATTACTTAATTTCATAATTAGTTTAATTAACTTTTTTTGTTTTCTTATTTCTTACTCCATTATAACATCAGATTTCAATTTGAGTTTAATATTAATTTACTAATAATTAAAAAATATTTTGAAATGTATCATAAGTAAAAAATATATAAAAATAATATCATCTATTAGATAAACCTAAACCATATGTATGATTACATTTAATGATTACGGTAATTGATTGATTGCTAATTAGTTGTTTAATTTACAGATTGATTGTTGATTACAGAGTATTGATTAATTAGTCAATTTAATTATTTAATTAATATTGAAATAATAAATATTGATAATTATATTTAAAAATTGGTAATTAAATTATATACTGAATATGCTTTTAATAGCAAACTTAGCGATAAAGCGATTATTATTTTATTGAATTTATTGACGAATGAGAGCACTCTATTGAGTGTCAAAACAATTGTATTGAACGGCAACTGAATGTCCAACAAATAACATGTGTTTGAATTGATTGACAATAAGTTTGCAGTGATTGTCACTAAAGACTAAACCAAATTAATTGTTAAATTGATTAATCATTTTGTTGTATCACTTTTGCTGTCGTTAACAGTTATACACAATGTTTGCATTTCGCCGATTGACCCAAAAGTTTGCCAAAGTTGGCGCTTATAATGAGTTTCAGTTATTAAGACATGAGTTGATATTACCACAAGAAATGGCAGTCCGATGGCGACATTCGGCGAGAATCAACACATCTGTGGTGTTTGTGCCGCAACAGGAGTCATGGATTGTCGAAAGGATGGGAAGGTTTCATAGGATATTAGGTAATACTACACAAGCATTACATGATTCAGATGATTACCATTGTCTCGTATGTTTGACATCAGATCCCGGAGTTAACTTTTTAATACCAGTCGTCGATCAGATTAGTTATGTTCAAAGTCTTAAAGAATTAGCCATTGATATCCCGCAACAATCAGCGGTTACCGCAGATAACGTTGTTCTCAACATCGATGGTGTTCTCTATCTTCGTGTTGTCGATCCATACGCTGCTTCTTATGGTGTCGAAGATCCCGAGTTTGCAATCACACAATTGGCTCAAACGACGATGAGGTCAGAGATCGGTAAAATAACATTGGATTCAGTATTTAAAGAGAGGGAATCTCTTAACATTGCAATTGTTGAGTCAATCAATACGGCCGGTAAAACATGGGGTCTGACATGTATGAGGTATGAGATCAGAGACATATCTCTTCCTTCAAGAGTTGCAGAGGCGATGCAGATGCAGGTGGAGGCAGAACGTAAAAAACGGGCTGCAATTCTCGAGTCTGAAGGCAAACGGGAAGCAGATATTAATATAGCTGAAGGTCTCAAAAGGGCCCGTATTTTGGCCTCAGAAGCGCTTAAATTGGAACAAATCAATAGTGCAGAAGGTTTGACGGATTATTATTTAATTATTAAATATTATGACAAAAACTAAATAAATTCAATTTTGAACTATAGGTGAGGCCAAAGCAATCATAGCTCGGGCACAGGCAAAAGCCAGTGGCATCAAAATGATCGGTGAAATGATTAAAACAAGTTCGGGTGAAAATGCAGCCGCACTTAATGTTGCCGAACAATATGTAAAAGCCTTCTCACAATTGGCCAAAACTAACAATACTATTATTTTATCTAACGATGCCTCAGATGTGGCCAAAATGACAGCTCAGGTATGACTAACTTTTAAAACTTTTAAGTATTGATAACTTTTTTACACTTCAAATGACAGGCTTTACAAGTGTTTCGAACTCTTAAAACATCTGATAGTGATATAATCGGTGGTAAAATTGATGAAAAAAATACAGAAGAAAAGTCTAGAGTTGAGAATCAATTCGAGTATTACAGCGATTTAGACAATAAAAGACAATAGGATTTATTTGTCTAATTTATTAATATAATAGTCATTTAATTTTTTTTTATAATAAATAGTCTTTTACTAAATCTTATAAATTATACTATAAAAACAATTTACATTAAAACGATGAGTTTTATATATGAATATACAGGCAATAAATGGACATAAAGTGAATGACTAAGACATCTCATTTGATATCTTATTGAGGGAACCGTTAGCTCTTGCGATTTGAAGTAACTCACGAAGAGCTTTATTTTCTGTCTTTAGTTTGGCGATTAGTTCCTGTTCTTTGAGCGAATTTTTATCATCCATTAGTATCGATTCATTCATAACTGAAGCCATTTCACAGATTTGATTCATTAATCGTGTAATTACTTCATTTGAATTATTAGTTTGATTGTTAAGACATTGAGTCTCAACTTTTTCCAATTTAATCAATTGATTGGTGTGTTGTCTGTATTTACTCATAATGAGCTCCAGAACCCATTGGTAATCTTCGAGAGCAAGCTTGAGCTCCCGGTTCTCGGTCTCTAATTTACGTAACTGTTTGCTCTCTCTCTGAATGGTTACTATAATGGAGTTCCTTTGGCTGGACGTCGATTGGGAACTCATTTGTAGTACTTCTTCGTGATACTAATCGTTAATTAAAAAAAAATATATAAATTTTGTCAATCAGTCAATAAAATCAATACTTGTTTCATGTTTTCGACGGCATTATTAAGTGTTTGACTTTTGGACATCAAATGATCGGTTTTGTGATCATATTCTTTAAGTTTTGTCACCAATTTCTTGGCGTCACTTAACAGCTGATTCATACTAACTGCCATCTCATTTAGTAATCACATAAATAGTATATCAGTTTTGAGTCTAATGTACCCTCAAATGACAGATGAAATCAATTAATAGGTCATCACAAGTGATAGCAAATACAAGACATGAATCAAGTGATCAATTGATAGTTCATTCAATTGATTGCAAAACACATTAATTGAGGTTTAGTTGAGTTGAGCGCAGACTCAGTCACACTTTGAATGCATTGAGACTCACATTAAGCATACAATCAATGAATGTAAGCATTGGTTGTATTGAAAGTGATTTAACCATTAATTGAATTCATTAACCGAAACATTGGTCGGTATTATACTTTAATTTGATACACATTTCATTGATTTAATATTTATTGCAATTATTAAATACCTATTACTTGTTAAACGACTAATTAATAGACAAATGAATTGTTATAACCTTAGATTTGCCAGAAGGACAACAAAATGGCGTTGAGTTCATTTGCCGTCAGATCTATGAATTTGAGCCGAAGTGCGACCTCAAAGGTTTCATTTCTTAAAAATGTAAGATTTAATTAATATATTGTTATAATATATGAGTTTTAACTAATGATTTTCTATTGAATAGCTATCAAAGGCCTATTCGCCGGTTGGCTTGAATGCCATGAATACTTTGCGGTGCATTTCAACGACCGCCAAACTGCAGGCCTCGGGAGCCGAAGTATCGTCCATTTTGGAGGAGAGAATTTTAGGACAAACAGCTTCAGCTAATTTAGATGAGACCGGACGAGTATTGTCCATCGGTGACGGTATTGCTCGCGTTTACGGCCTTAAGAATATTCAGGCCGAAGAAATGGTGGAATTTTCAAGTGGTCTTAAGGTATGTTTTGACAAATTATTTGAAGTTTGAATGATATGTAATATTCACAATTTGTCACCAAAGGGAATGGCTCTTAATTTAGAACCCGATAACGTCGGTATTGTGGTCTTCGGTAACGACAAGCTTATCAAAGAAGGAGATATTGTTAAGAGAACCGGTGCTATCGTAGACGTACCCATTGGTATAGAGTTATTGGGACGTGTTGTCGATGCTTTGGGTAACGCTATTGATGGCAAGGGACCAATTAAAACAACAAAGAGAGCTCGTGTCGGTCTTAAAGCTCCGGGTATTATTCCCAGGATTAGTGTCAAAGAGCCTATGCTTACAGGTATGAAGGCTGTGGACAGCTTAGTACCGATTGGTAGAGGACAGCGAGAATTGATTATTGGTGATCGACAAACTGGTAAAACTGCTATTGCTATCGACACTATTATTAACCAAAAACGATTCAATGATGGAACCGATGATAAAAAGAAGTTGTTTTGTGTGTACGTTGCAATCGGACAGAAGAGATCAACAGTGGCTCAGATTGTCAAACGACTTGCAGATTCCGATGCAATGAAGTACACAGTCGTAGTCTGTGCCACCGCCTCCGATGCGGCGCCTCTTCAATATTTGGCTCCATATTCTGGTTGTGCAATGGGAGAGTTCTTCAGAGATAACGGAAAGCACGCGCTTATCATTTACGACGATCTTTCCAAACAAGCCGTAGCTTATCGTCAAATGTCTTTACTTTTGCGTCGACCACCGGGTCGTGAGGCTTATCCCGGAGATGTATTCTATCTTCACTCCCGATTACTCGAAAGAGCCGCCAAAATGAATGACTCATTCGGAGGCGGATCGTTGACAGCTCTCCCCGTAATTGAAACTCAGGTAAAAATATAAATAAATTTAATTTACAAATAGTGGTAAAATTGATGATAAATATGTGTTAAGGCCGGAGACGTGTCGGCATATATTCCAACAAATGTCATCTCCATCACCGACGGACAAATCTTCTTAGAAACTGAGCTCTTCTATAAGGGTATTCGTCCGGCTATTAATGTCGGTCTATCTGTCAGTCGTGTCGGATCTGCTGCTCAGACCAGAGCTATGAAACAGGTATTTTAAGTTTGTTTAATGTATTAATGTATTAATATATTAATGTATTAATATATTAATGTATTAATATATTAATATATAAATATATGTTAATAGGTGGCCGGTTCAATGAAGCTTGAGTTAGCTCAATATCGAGAAGTGGCCGCTTTTGCCCAATTCGGCTCAGATTTGGACGCCGCCACTCAACAACTTCTTAATAGAGGTGTTCGACTCACAGAACTTCTAAAACAAGGACAATACGGTTTGAAACTGAATCTCAATTAATTTATAGCCATTTCTTATAAATTGTTGACTTTATAGTCCCGATGCCTATCGAAGACCAGGTGTCGGTTATCTACACCGGAGTAAGAGGTTATTTGGATAAAATGGATCCGTCAAAGATTGGTCAGTTCGAGAAAGAGTTCTTACAACACATCAAGACTTCACATCAGGATATGTTGAATACAATTGCAAACGAAGGCAAAATTAGTGACGAAACCGACGCTAAACTCAAGAAAATAGTAATAGATTTTATGGCAACATTTCAGGCCTAATGGCTACCAATAATTAATATTTAATAATAATGTAATTAAATATAAAAATTGTTTTAGTTCTTCAAATAATTAGATGCGATTTTGCAGTCATTGATATCATTGAATGCAGTAATAAATGAACTTTTATTCTACTTTTTGTTTTAAATTAAGAATTTGTTTAAAATTTGAGGTATTTCTACATTACCATCAATTGTTTGATTTTGTTCAATGATTGATATAATAATTGGATATAAGTGTAAACAAGCATTTATAATATGACTTTCTGGAGCACCCAATCGTATAGAAATATAGTCTTTATAATGGGTTATTTGGCAAACAGTTAACCATTGATTTTTAGATCTCAGCCAAACTTGAAAGTCTATACCAGAGAATTGACTTATTTCTAACTGTTGAGCACCGGTACGTATTGAACGACATTTAATGTCTAATTGTGTCAAACATTTCCATAATAACTGATTCAATTCATTCATTTGATAGTTTGATAAGTTTTCATCAGGTTTTGTAATAATCGTTGCATTTAATGAGTTATTTTGAGTAAAGCATTGTTGATATTCTTGTCCAATCGATAACAGTTTAATTGCATTAATATCTTGAGTCCAATTGAATTGTCTTTTACTAATGAATGCACAGATGGACTCAAATGACGAATTGCCGACAAAATGCAAGCCTTGATTCAGCTGTTGATTGTGTGTTGACTTATGTTTGGCATTGATCTGCAATTTGTCTGATTTATAGTCAGACAACTCTTTATAATGTGTCGCTTCAATGACTGCTGTCTTAACAAAATCAATACCAGATATATCAACAAATTGATTGCAACGCAAACTTTGACCAAAAAACTCAATTATCGAGTCATTCATTTGTGTCCCAATTGTATTCAAATAAACAGATTTCGGACCAATGATTGAATTAAACAAACATTTGTTAATATATGACAATTGAATGTAATTCAAAACTTTATATAATTTAATGTTTTTGTCTTTGGGTTCATAACTGGAGATCACTTCATACTCTTGTTTTACATCATTTCTGATGTCATTTGGTATTTGCAGAACAAACTTAATAACTACTTCTTCTAAAACATTAATTTTTTCGTAGATATCTTTCATGACATCACTAATAGTATTGTATTGTTGTTGTAATTCATCGGAAATCACTTTATTTTGTCGTTTCTTTGATTGTATTTTATTCTGTAATTTGAGTTTTGTTTGTAATTTTTGCTCCAATTGTGTCTTCAATTCAATTATTTCCTTTAAATCATTCTCCAGACGTGTGTAATCCCAATGACAATCGAGTCCTCTTCGGTGACAATTGTGTTGAATATCAGATAATTTATGTAAAACATTATTCAAGTATTTGTTATCATATTTGGGTTGCAATACATTGTAGACAATGTGTCCGACACGAGGACTGACATAAAGATATGAAAAAATGCGATCATTTATCGTATCCTTCAGTTGATGGTCAGTGTATTCAGTTGTTGTCATTGTCCTCATCAATGTTGTCATCAATTTGTGAGCTGATCCGCTAACAACACCAATACAAGAAACTAATCTTTTAAAGACTAATAAATGCATGAATCAAGAGATATTCACTATAATATCAAATAATATCACTTGAATGGTCCAGAAGTGTCACCGAAATGACCGATAATTACGATTTGTGACGACAAACAAGTCATTCAAATGTTGTCTCAAATGTTGTAATGCATTGTTGAGACTGATCTGTGTCCACATCTGTCGTCGACAATGACTAACACATTGACTATAATTTACATCAAATTCTTTTGTAATACTCTTTAGTAATAATATTATTAATTAATTTGAAGTTTCATTCAAAACCACAATATCTATAATAGGATTACATAAATACCATTATTATTATTATATCGCAAAATGTTTTTATTTTCAGACCATATAATAAGTCTCTCTCTCTCTCTCTCTCTCTCTCTCTCTCTCTCTCTCTCTCTCTCTCTCTCTCTCTCTCTCTCTCTCTCTCTCTCTCTCTCTCTCTCTCTCTCTCTCTCTCTCTCTCTCTCTCTCTCTCTCTCTCTCTCTCTCTCTCTCTCTCTCTCTCTCTCTCTCTCTCTCTCTCTCTCTCTTAACTCTCTTATTTAAGTAACTGTAAGTAATAATAGGGAAAAAATCTACTCAAATATTTGAAACTACAGTATAAAACAGTATTAAACTTACAGTTAATAGTTTTTATATACACACAAAAGTTACACATAACTCTGCTTTTATTGTTAATAAAATAATGATTAAAATAAATGAAAGTCTATAACATATACTGTAGTTAACTGTAAAATTTTTAGTGCAAAAAACTTTTTTGTTTTGTTAAATTTATTTGATTATAAAGTAAATATTTGACGACAAGTATAGACACTCATTGACTTTCATTAGTCTCATGTCTACAGACTTTCATAGCATCCGTTTTACTAATTTTTCATGAGTTTAACATTTTTTTCGCTGAATTTAATGTTTGTTAAATTATGACAAAAAAGCATTTCCTCTATCATTGTTTGTATGAAAAAAATAAAATTCAAACGAAACAATATTTTAAAAAATTAAATTCTGTGGTCACCACAAACTCCAGATTTATATCTGTAATAAATAAATAATTTAGAGAAAATAAAATCTAATATATAATTTATGAGATAATTATATGATTAAGTTATAAATTGAATTATTTGTTTATCAAAATAAAACATAAAAACTATTTATTCATCAGTTGTTTTGTCTCTAAAGTGCCAAATGTTTTGATTCACAACAATACAGTTGTATTGGGGTTTGTTTTAAATGCTAACTAAACAGTGCTTATTATGATATGATATGATATAAAGTAAATTATAGGCGAATGCTATCATTTGGAGCCAAAAAAGCTGTGGTTAAGCTGAGTCAGCCTGAGTTCAGGCTAACTGAGCTGACTCACACACTGGGAGACACATATTTAGTCCCTGGAGATGCCTCTTATCTCATATAGTGTACTGTAATATACAATACTAGTGAATATATAGCTAATAGTGTGTGGCGTCGCCTCATAGCATGTCTGTGCCATTCAATACATAGCAAGCGTTGCCTGAGTTGTGATGTAAAGTGAAACTAGAGTCCCGAGTCTGTGCTCTAAACGCTATACAAACTCATGTACTTATAGTAAGATGTGATGCCCTTTACCACAGATATATCACATCATCTGATAATCCAATGCTATCCCTCTTAGAGTCGCTCTCTTCTCACTTAAGTTTTTCAGTTTATATATTTACAAATATTGAAGAGTGACTATACTATTAACACCATAAAAATCATTATCAATATTAAATGTGTTAACAAAGTTAGTGTCTCTGTGTATGTATGTGTTACCCAACTTTAAAATTGATGTTTAAATCATTACAATATATATATTGCATTATTTAATATTTATAGAACTCAATAAACGTTTGATTTTTAAAAAATAATTTGTGGCCAACAATAATATAATAATGATTTACAACTACAGTGAACTAATTTTATTATGAATATATACATTATAAATAAAAATTTAATTTTTATTATTATGTCCTTAATATGTTGTCATATCACTTCAAGCGGTAAGTTCAACTAAATTAAGCATTTTTTTTATTTGTTTACATATAATTACTAATAAAAATAAGCAATTAATTGCTAAACTCATTAAATCTGATATTTGTTTGCTAAATATATTTATAATAAGTGTAGTAAAATCGATTAAATGTTTAATTTTTATGATTTCAAAGTCATTTTTATTTGATAATATAAATCTATAAAAAACTATATTTTGTGTGAGTTTTGAGTTTCATAAATGACTTTTTCATAGGACAGTACAGTAGCTCCTAAATGGAGACGTCGTTCCCTTCAATAGATAGGCATAAAAATTGTTATAAAGACAGTGTTTGCGAAAGAGATGGGAGATTGAGTGAACAGTTAACCAAATCGGCTATATTTAGACTCAACTTATTTGTGAACTGCTTTTATGCATTTGTTTAGCACTAAAACACTAATTTTTAATGCTTTCGTATTTGTCTAATATTTTTAATAATTAACAAATAACTTGATCGACAATTTGACTTTAAATCTAATATTAATTGTGTTGTTATATAACATATGTTTGTAACTTTCTTAGCAAACAAATAGTCAATTTATTGTTTATATACAATAGTACTCTGTTATACAAATAAATGACAACACATTTGGGAATCAAATTGTTGACTAATTCCCATATCTGGATATCAGTATGTGTTTTACTATTTAATAAATGCTTACATTTTGTTATAAATTACTAACAAAAGTATTTAAGAATTTATTTAAAAATCTAATTAATATAAATAGTTATAAATATACCTTATAATTATATATATGTAATATTCATATAGTTTAATAGTCAAATCTATATTATTTTTTATTTAAATTATATTAATTTTATATTATTATGTGATTGAATTATGATTTTGTGATTTGTTTAACCATTTAATGTTTTATGATCTTTATAATATATATTAACTTATTTTATGAGTTTGTTTTGCAAAAAAAATAATCAAAAGGAAATCGACAGACAGGCAAATACTGTGAATAGGAATAGAGAGAGAGATTTAAAAATAGGATAATTTTTATTGTTTTTATTGCTTAAATTGATTTTTAACAATAGACTTATTAGTGTTGTATTATATAGTAAATTGAATTACTTTTTTAAATAAATTAAAAAATTGTATTATATTTTATAGTATTTGAGTTTTGATTGATTGATTTTATTAAAGTTATTAAGCTTTGATTTTATTTCATTTATTTATTTGGTTTTCATAAAGTTTGGTTTTCCAGTTAGATACGTGCAAAAAATTATTTATTGTAAAAATCAATAAATATTATTTATTTGTATACAAACGTAAAATAGCCAGAAAAGTTAATCTATGTATTAAAGTGCGTTTAAATGAGATCTGTTTTTATTATAATCAATTCATTAATATATTAAATCATATCATTTCTCAGTTAAAGCAAAAGTAGATTAATTGTCCTTTTCTTCAATGACCTCTCATTTTCACGCCATTCCTTCACAAAATAATAGTTTGAAGAACTTAACTAAATATATATCTTTTAATTCAATGGTCCCATCAATCGGATGACCTCTTCTATACTGTGGTCGGACCTATCAATTAGTTGACACAATGGATACAATGGATTAAAGACATGCAATAGACTTTTTGATTGAAAATTACTATTAAAGAAATAATGTGTCGCTTGACTTCATTTGGTGTTACTAAAGGGTCGATAGAGACCAACCCATTACAGAGATAATGTCAAACCAATCAATGTTTTTTAATACAAATCAATGTAATAGAAATCACATTATATATATTTTTTATGTACTGTATATAAATGGATGACTAAGTGATACATAGAAATACAGCTTTTTATGATTTTAATCAAATAAAACAACTTAATTATTGTCTAATAATTAATGACAAGTCTACGACATGAATCTCAATCGTTATTTAAATACATTACTTAAGACAATACGTGTCTTAAACAAAATATTTGAATCAATTAAAATAGATTTTCCTTTTCAATAGTGAATGTGTTTTATATATAATATTTTGATAAAAGGTTTTGCGTGAAAATCAATGTTCAAAATGATTGACATAAAAGCTTTTGCTATTCAAAGGGATGAATTGTTTTCTCTTATTTTCAGCTTTTATCGTGTCTTTAATATTTAGGTTCATTTAACTTATATAACAAAGAAATGATAGCCCATTGACTCAATGTATTGGATAATCACTAAGAATTCCCTTTAAATGCATTTTTACGAAAAAATAAGACCCAATATATATATATAATAAACCATCAAATGGCCGTTTCCTTTCATCATACTATATATGATATATACAGTCTATACTATACATTATATTATAAAAACTATGTTTTAGAAATATACTATTTTCTTATTAGTTATACAAAAGTTTACTCAAATTCAGATAAATACTTAATTTTTTATTAGCTTTGATCAAGTATTTATGGCATTACCACCTATTATTTATCTAATATTATTTGTTATATATATTTATGTATAGTACATGTACAGTATGTTAGGAAAATAATAATGTGATGTTTGAGTGGATGCAAATTATTTTATATAACTTTACCATATGTTATTTGAGTGTAACAACAAAATATGCTAATAGTAGTGTATTATTATCATTATCATTATAATCAATGTTTATTCTTATTATAGTATAATTGAATATATATATATATTATGATAAATTTGATACTATAAATATACATAACCTTAATAAATTTAATTAAAAAATATATATAAACCTAACTTAAATTTAATATATATAATATCCTGTATATATCAAATACATATATTATAACCAATTACAGTATTTGGTACTGATTTATCAATAACATAGTTTAACAAAACTTTAAAATCCTATAAAAAATGACTTATTTTTATAGTGAATTTAGTCATTATATTATATTCTTGTTATCGAAGCACATATGAGTTATTGTTTTCTTATTTTTATTTCTCATTAGATTATTTGGTGTATTTTTTTGGAGAAAACTTTATGATGAAAAATGGTTTACAAAATAAGGTTTTGAATTTAAAAAATTTCTAATTTTTAAGTCGAGATGAGATAGACTTTATATTTTTTTGGCTTTAAACCATCAAAAGTATAATCAATTTTTCTAAACGCTTCGCAAAGAAATTTTTATGTGATATTTAT